AGGGGAAGGTGGTGAGAGGTAAGGAAGAAGTCAAAAGTAGCGGAAAAAAGCAACATCAGCAGCCATCAAATGGCACTCAGAGAGCCGGCCCATTCGGGTGTGTGGAATCCAAGCAGCCAGTGTTTCCCGGTCAAGAGATTGTGGCCATTGGAAGCAGAGGAGGCCGAGTGGGGGTGAAGAAGGGTGGGGGGTGGGAAAGCGTATATCGCAAATTACCGGTTGTTTTGACTCCCGCTGGATGCTCGGTGAGGCTGCTTTCTCGTACCCCCTGTTTGTTGGTCTACGATAGGAGTCCAAGATGGCGGATCTGCGCTGCGTTAGCTGGTAGGGGACCTCTGCATGAATCTCTGCTCGGTCTCCACTCTCTGTCACTTTTCTCACTCCATTTGGTGCTTGGCTGAATTCTTTATCTCTTTATTTGATGTTTTAGGGTTTCAGGATTGTTGTATTCTCTGTTCGGCTTAGTTTTTCGGATCTTTGCTGTGGAGGGACGGCATGGTGCTTCTCCCTAGAGTGCTGTTTTGCCGGAACTCTCAAGTTGGTCAGTTTTATAGAGATCAAGCACTATCAACAACAATTAGAGAGAGAGAGAGAGAGAACAAGCCCTGGAGCCAAGCTCTTTCAGGTATCAGCTGGAAGCAGAAATATTTATGCTTAGGATTAATTGTTCAGGGTAAGAGAGGCTGGAATCTGCTACTTACTTCCTTTAAAACATCCCTCCTTGGTGGTAGTTGAACGGACCACAGGGATGATAGATGTATGACTCCTTTCCAGGCAGTGGCGGTTCTGGTACTTTTTGTCTCTGAGCTAGGGTAAAACCTTTCCAACATTCAGTGCTACTAAACAGCTAAAAGTGGCGTTTGAGTAACCCCTGGATCTGGGTTGTGATTAAGAACATGGGCTTTGGAATTCAACAGACCTAGATTTAAACCCCGTTTCCACCACTTGGTACCTATTTGACCTGAGACAAGTTACTTCTGAGTGTCTTTATTTCCTCAACTGTAAAATAGGGATGATAACACCTATCTCATAGGATTTTCAGAAATAAATGAGCTAGGGTATGCAAAGTCCTCAGGCCAGAAGCCAGCACACAGTAAGAGCTCAGTAACTGATAGTAGTTTTTGAATGCTATAATGACCCATTACTAAAGTAAAGAACACTTAATTATTGTTGGAAAATCTCTGGCAATTATGAAAACTAAGCCAAATCAGGGGTCCTTACTGGTCTCATTATGGGACAGGTCGTAGAGCATGCAAGAACTAGGAAAATCTGAAGGGTCTTTTGAGACAACCCATTTGTTTTACAATTGATCAGGGCACCTTTACAATGCAATTGCTTCCTTCTTTGTATTCCTTGCTAGACTGCAAGCTTCAGGAAGACAACCTATACCTGTCTTATTCATGTTACATCCTCAGTACAGAACCTTTGACACATAGTAGATGCGCAGATGTTTGCTGAATGAATGTTCTACACAGTTGGTGGAAATGCCAAGACTTGAATCCTGGTCTCTTTATCCCCAAACCAGTATTCTGCACTACACTGCTTTTTGGCTGAAAAGATTACATAAAAGGAAATTTTTAGAATATGCTGTCGAAGTTTTTAAAAGGTCAGACAGAGTGTTTTGAGGCATTTTTAATTTTATTTCCCCTTTTTCATGTCATTTCCTCATTTTCTGGCAGATTTAATAGGCCCCAATAGTTTGATATTCAGGAGCGAATGTAGACTAAAAGTCTCAAAATTTTGTAGCTCTCTTTTATTTTATGATACATGAAATAGTATAAATGTCATTGTAAAGTGGATTAGGAGGCAGAATTGTGGCTTTGAATATTGCCTGTGACACAGGCAGTGTGATTTTGACAGGATGTTTAATCCATGAACCTCCAGTTTATCAAGCACTATCATTGTGTAATTGTAAAGGTAAAATAAGATAAAAAAGTGCAAACATGGTGTAAACTGAAGTTTTATACATATGTTTGTGTGTGTGTGTGTACTGGATTCTATTTTACTGTTAAAAGGGATGGTTTGATTTAGTACTTATCCTCCTCTTCCCCTTACTCATCCAAAAATGCATTCATCATCAAGAATCACTTCAAACTCTAAGCTTTCACTTATCAGTGTTTCATTAAACAGTTTCAGTTCCTTAAACCAATGCTAGGACAATGAAATGAATCTACCACCATAGTTTCTTTCTTTTTTACAGTGTTTTAATGAAATTATTTTTGTAAACATGAGAAAATTTGGTTAGACACAGGCTTATTATCTGAGTCTTTCCTCTCTGGTTTAGCATAAATAGTGTTTCGAGGATTGAGGTATAGGTAAAACCCAATTAAAGGTAACATTTATGGACTGTCTTCTAAAAATGGTTTAAGAAGTCAGTGGCCTACTGTGGTAAGCTAAAGCAGAGTTCATTTTTTTGTTCAGTGAGTCCCAGTTATTAACTGAGTTACCCATTTAGTCAGTACTTGGCTGTTAAAAGTCAGCATTACATTTACTAATATTAAAAACAAAACAAAACAAAAACCAAACCTATTGCCGTTGAGTCAAGTCTGTTTTCTGTTTTTTAAACTTTAACTCTCTTTGAAATTTCTGTTAGCAATAAAATGTTTTAAGGGTTTCAAGTGATCCTATTATAAACAGCTTCTTAAAAAATTAGGTTCCAAAGATTGGTCAGAGCTCTAGACTTCTGATAACCCAGCTGGATATGAAGAAAGAAAAGTTTCTTATGGTTGGTGCTCTGCCCACCAAGTTTTTGGCAAATAGCAAGATGATGATGGATACCATAGGTTGGTAAGTCAAGCTAGTAGCAGTACAGTAAAGCCTGGTTTTTGAAAAATATAATAAGACCAGGATCATTCCATTAGTAATAGGTGTTGTGGAAGAAAGGAAGGAATTGACCACTTTTCTTGTGAAGAACACAGTTAATGATCAGATATTTACTGTTTAGTTAAATGCCTTTTCCCAGTTTTTTCATTAATGAGGTAGGATGTGGAAGACTCAAACAAAAGCTCATTTTTTACATTCCCTTCACACTGAGTAGTTGCTTTACAATCATAATATCCAAATGTCATTACAGTGGTATGATGTAAAATGTTTTTAAATTGTATTTCATTACTTTTTTTTGTGTAGTAAAATAATTTTGATAACTCATAGAATGTTGTATACGACACTGATGGTAGCAAGTAGAATAAAACTGAGTTTTAGCATGTCTCGCAGAAATTATTTAACAGAATGAGTTCACATTTTTAGGACCTGAATTAATTATGCAAGAATATTTAGTGCCTAATAGTTTGTGTAGGCTAAGTTGGGTCAAAGCAGCTTTAGAGATGGATTGTATCAGAGAAGACTATTGCTAGAAACAAACACAGACAGTAACCTCACTGGCTGTTACTGTGTTTAAAAGATGAGACTGATATCTCTGAGCATTTTCAGGGAATCAAGTTTCTAAGGAGAAGGTGGCCTTTACTTTTTCCCTTCTGGGTCTGTCTAAATAAACATTTTGCTGGGACTCTGAGGTTCTGAAGAATCTGTAGAGTTTCAGGTCCACAAAAACTTCGCCCCACGCCTTAATTTTTTACATAAATGGAAAAGGAATATTTGGATGTTTTACATTTAACTCCACATTGTTACAAAATACTTCTTTCCACCGGGCAAATATCTGTTGAATAAATAAGTACCATTTTGTCAGAATGGTTTTTCTGTTACCCATATGTTTATATTGAACAGGTTGCATTTGAATAGAAGTCACGACCTATAGAGACCTTGTTTTAAGCAAAATCACCTTTACAATTTCTTTTTTATTTCGTTTTGTTTCCATTTCTTCTTTCTTGTTATACATCCCTTCTTGCGTTTTCTATCCCTAGCTTGAAAGAACAACTAGGGAAAGAAAGGGATACGCTAAATCAGTGATTTCCCTTTCCTTGATACAGGCTTATGCCACATCACCTCTTAGAGCTGGAGGAAGCGTTCCTTTAATTAGCAGTGCCGTTACTCTGTGCTGTGTCCGTGCTCCCCAAAGTGTGGTCCATGGTTTGGTGCCAGTCTGCAGACTATTACTAGTCTGTGACAAGTACAGAATATGACAGAGTTTAGAAACTGTGTTATTTTGTATTTTATAGGAATATTGATCAACAGTGAACTGGAAATTAAAAAAAGAAAATCCTTCACTATAGACAGTTTGAGAAGCACTAAGCTAGACGACTTTATCGTCTAATACATGCAATCACAATTGATTGGCGGGGGAGAGGGAGCTGTTAAATGACTATCCTGTAGAACTAGCTATACCATAGTTGGTTATGTGCTCAGCTGTAGCAAAGCCCAAATGAATTTGTTTCCATGGCATAAAAATCAAGAATTATTCTAAGTATCAATAATGATCATGTTAATTAAGTGAATCATAGCTGTTCATTTGGTTTCTGAATAACTTTATTGTTTATTACTTGGAGTTGAAGCACCATCTGCTAAAGTTAGATAGTCTGGCAACCTTAATAATTTCTACATTTTCCCTGGGAAGTTGTTGAATCATTTGAAAAACATAAAGCTGTGTTTCTCTCGTGTGTTAGTAAATTAGGTTCACTTTAGAAGGTAGTGGTCATTAAATATAACCAAAGTTTGGTTTAACATACAAGCAGGAGTAAGAGAGAGAAGAGAGGCACCATTGACAATACTCCCCAGTTGTGAAAATTTGGCATCTAGATGTGGCATCGTACTTTTGGATATTATGATCATTGCTCCCTTTAAGAATTGAATTAGCAATTGATGATGTTACCATAATTGAACCACAAGTTTCATTAGTTCTGAAAATATCAATTTCTAATTTAGCATGATAACCTAAGACATTTTTACAAAATCATTCTAATTTTTTTTGAGGAAACTACTTAAGAAAGTTGCTACTGTTACTTAGAGGGCAAAAAAAAAAAAAAGTTCTGCTTGACCCATGTAAAATCTGAATATACTAATGAACTTATCATCAGTGTCCTCCTCTTTTGTGTTTGTTAATGCAGATAACAAGGGGAATTAACAGACCTGAAGCATGAGTTCAGATGCCAGCCAAGGTGTGATCACTACTCCTCCTCCTCCCAGTATGCCTCACAAAGAGAGGTATTTTGACCGCATCAATGAAAGTGACCCAGAATACATTAGGGAGAGGAACATGTCTCCTGATCTACGACAAGACTTCAATATGATGGAGCAGAGGAAACGAGTTACTCAGATCCTGCAAAGTCCTGTGAGTTGAAATAATTAGGAGGATGTCATTTTTCTTCCTCTTTGGGAACCTTGATATAATGAAGTAGGGGTATCTTAGACAACCCTCAGGTTAAAAGAGAGGTAGACCAGGAGTGACAAGTTGCTCCCATCTTTCAGAGGACAAATGGACACCTAATTTATATATCTGACTTGCAAAGCTTTAATAACAAACTGGTATTGTTTTCTTGGGTGATATGAAGTTTCTTTGTGTGTTTTCTGGGAGGATAAAGGGTGCTACTGAACTCAAGGATACCCAATTCAGAGTGAAAATCTGTGACTGAAGTGTTAGGAACCTGGAAATTAGTTAGGTATATCCCACGCACATATTTTTCTTCTTCCTTCGCCTGCCTTGACACTCAGCAGCAAAGGAAGACTTAAGGTTTTTGAGGAAGTCTGTGATTTGGCAGCCTAGTATTATATATATATACACACACACATACATATACATATATATATATGTATGTGTATATATATATATATATATATATATGTATGTATATGTGTGTGTGTGTGTATATATATATATGTGTCTATATGTATATATATATATACAGGAGCCTCGGTGACACAAGCAGTTTGCAGTTGGCTGCTAACCTAAAGGTTGGTGATTCAAACTCACCCAAGGACTCCGCGGAAGAAAAAGCCTGACTTCTGTAAAGATTATAGCCAAGGAAATTCTATGGAGAACTTGTATCCTGTAACACATGGGGTTGTCATGAGTTGGGGGCTGATGCGAGGGCAGCTAACCAGTGTTATATACAACCATGCAGGCACACACATATGCACACACACCAAGAAGGTAGATTAAAAGTGAATTACAAACTTAGTAACTCAAGCTGAAAATTCTCTCTGTACAACAATGCCCAGATTTTGTGAGGGTATTAATATGATTTGTTAGTTTTCTTACAAACATTTAATGAAATTGCGAAGGTCAGATAGATATAAGTGATGGAAACTGAGAGGACAGCCTGATTTAACATGATTGAAAAATTGCAGCAAGAGCTATGAAAACCCATAAATTTTCTATAGCTGATAGGAGTCCCAGAAGCAAAATGGTATAGCAAAAAGTTGCTCAAATTGACAAACTATAGATGAAGAATGAATTCATAACATTATACGTAATGAAGATCATGGGCCCCTTAAGGTAGAGTTCAGCACACATAGACAAGTTGGGGTTAGGTTTCCACCTTGGATACTAAAATAAGCATCAAGGGATAGAGCTGCCTGAGGTGGCCCTGGTAAATCATTTGTGTTGTGCCCTTGTGAATTTAATCACAAAGGTTGAGTCCAAAGCCGAAGGGGAATTCCACTCTGAATAATTTTTTCATACCAGTGGCCTAGATGAAAGCATTGAAGAACAGGTTATAAAGGCAGTGCAAGCCTTGAGGAACTTTTTAAGTATAGCACCCAACTTAAAGAACCCTTTCCAAATAGAAAGTAGACTAACCAGAGAAGTCATCATGACAGAGTAAATGTTCAGCGCCTTACTTTGTGCAAACCTGAGTTTCTGTGTTTATAAATACTTGAAGGGCATGTTAATGATTTGAATCAAAATAGATTTATTTCCACCTTTAAAGAAACCCCACTTTTAAGAACTAACTTATTAACCAAATGATTGTAGTCACATAGTATAAATTAATTGACAGAATGGTAAATGAGGTTAGATTTTTTAAAGATTGATAAATATTGAGATTTCTTTGGGAAGTACCCTAAAGAGGACCATTCCATTCTAACTGTAAAGTTTAAATGAAAAAGTACTAAACTAAGTTTCCATGCAAGGGTTTTTGTTTTATGATTTCCCCATTAAGCTAACGACAGTATAACTTTGAGTAGGTTATTTAATTGTTTTATTCTTATGTATTTCCATTTATAAATTGGCTTAAAGATATCAATTTTATTTATGCCTGGGGGAACTTAATGACATAATGGGAAAGGGTAGACCTATAAATTGTCATTTCCCTATTCACTTAGCAAGGGTGATTATTTTCTTTAAAGGGAGAAAAAAAAAATAAAACAGTTCATCTGTTGTTCAGATTTCCGAGGTTGCTGTTTGTGTTGGGTTCTTACTTGAATTCTTGTGTCATTATTGTAGGGGGACATTATGGAATAAATATATATATATATATATATGAATGGTTATTTTCTGCCCAGACAGGAACAAAGAAAGCTGAGGTTTAAAAGAATTGAGTTAGTAATATTTTTGCCTGGATCTTTGCTAGTAAGTTTGAAATCTTGCTTGTGACACACTTGTAAAAGTGCATGTCTTAGTTTCCTAGTGCTTCTCTAACAATACCATCACAAATAGGTAACTTTAAAGAAAAGAAATTTATTTTCTCACAGTTCTGGAGGCTGAAAGTCCGAACCAGGGCCTCGGCTATGTAGATTCCTTCTGTGGGCCTCTCTTCTAGTTCCTGGTGACTGCCAGTAATCCTTGACTTTCCTTTACTCTTTATGGATGCATCTGCCTCTGTTGTCACATGGAGTCTCCCTCTTTGTGTCTGTCTCTCTGTGTCTGTACGGTTCCTTTATAACACACCACTCAAAAGGGATTAGGTTTAGTATGCATCTTACTCCTGTAGGGAGTGTAGGTAGTGGCACAGTGGTTAAGCGTTTGGCTGCAAACTAAAAGGTCGGTAGTTCAAATCCATCAACTGCTCCTTGGAAACCCTGTGGGACGATTCTCCTCTGTCCTGTAGGGTCACTGTGAGTTGGAATCTACTCAGCAGCAACGGGCTACTCTTGTATGGCCTCATTAACATATATAAAGAAAACCCCTGTTTCCAAACAAGCTCATATTTTCAGATATAGGCCTTAAGAGTTCAACATAACTTTTAGGGTGACACAATTCATTGCATAGCAGTACATAAATTTTGTCTTTCTGCCATGTTTTATGACAGTGGTTTTCAAACTTTTAATACAGCAGAAACTTTTCACCAGAGGAAATTATACATGGTGGCCTATGTTAGTTATCCTTTACTAAATAACAAATTACCCCAAAATTTAGCAGCTTAAAACAAGCATTATCTCACCATTTCTGCATGTCTGGAGCAGTTTAGCTGAATGGTTCTGGCTCAAGGTGTCTCATGAAGTTGTAGTCAAGACATCACCCACGGCTGTTGTCATTTGAAGGTTTGACTGGGGCTAGAGAATCATCTGCTGTTGGCAAAAGTTCTCAGATCCTTGCCACATGGACCTCTCCCCAGGGCTGCTTGAGTGTCCCACCCTATTGCAAGTATTGAAGAAAGAGATCAAAGAGGAGCCTGCAATGCTTTCTATGATCTAGTCTCAGAAGTCACACATCATCACTTCCACCATATAGTTAAAAGTGAGTCAAGTTGTACCCACACTTAAGGGAGGGGGAATTAAGCACCACCTTTTGAAGGGAGGATTGTCTACCCTCTGGTCACAGTTTATTTTAAAACCAACACAGTCCACCCTCTGGCTGCAATTTGTTTGCTTGTCTTCCACATGCAGAATATACTCACCCTCTCCAAGCACCCTCCTCCCAGAATCTTATTCCATTGCAACATCAAGTCCAGAATCACATTTTCTAAATCTGGTCCAGGTACAGATGATGTTCCTCAGGTGTATTTCCTTAAATACAGAACAGCTCCTCAAGTACAGTTCCTCTCAATCTGTAGATTGTGACCTAAAGAGAAAAGCCATTTGCTCCCCCATACACACTCAGCACTCAATGGTGGGACAGGCATAGGATAACTACTATAGACATTCCTATTCAAAAAGGAGGGAGTTTGGGAGTGTAAGGAGTTCACTGACTTGACTCATAGAAATTCTAAAATCCATCAGGGCAAATGCTTGGAAGTCCTCAATGAGGATTCAGTCTATTTCCCAGGAGTGAGTCTCTATGACTCTTGGTTCTGCCCTCTGGGCTCTTGGTTCCACCCTCTGCATCTTCCCTTCCCTTGAAAGGTAGGCTGTGTTGGCAGCTTTGTTTTTCTTAGCCTATTTCATTCTTGTAGAGGTTTTCGGGGTCCAAAGACCTCTTTTCCTCTTGTATTGTCTTTGTCCCTTTCACCCCAAGCTGACAGTATTTCTGTGAGTGTAATGATCTTAAAAACTTTGTGGGGATGAACTAGATAAATGGGACCTCCCAAAAATTAAGACTTTATGCTCATCAAAAGACTTCTTCAAAAGAGTAAAAGGAGAACCTACAGACTGGGAAAAAATGTTTGGCTACAACATATCCAACAAGGGTCTGATCTCTAAAATTTATAGAAAACATCAACACCTCAACAACAAAAAGATGAACAGTCCAATTAAAAAATGGGCAAAAGGATATGAACAGACACTTCACCAAAGAAGACATTCGGGTAGCAAACAAACACATGAAGAAATGCATGCAATCATTAGCCATTAGAAAGATGTAAATCAAAACTATAATGAGATACCATCTTACCACGATAATAATGGCACTAATCAAGAAAACAGAAAATAACAAATATTGACGAGGTTGTGGGGAGATTAGAACTCTTGTACACTGCTGGTGGGAATATAAAATGACACAACCACTATGGAAAATGGTATGGCACTTCCTTAAAAAACTAGAAATACTGTTGATTCAGCAATCCCATTCCTAGGTATATACCCTAAAGAAATAAGAGCCGTGACACAAATAGACATATGCACACCCATGTTAATTGCAGCATTATTCACGATAGCAAAAAATGGAAACAATCTAAGTGCCCATCATCAGATGAATGGATAAACTGTGGTACACACACACAATGGAATACTACACAGTGATAAAGAATAATGGTGAATCCGCGAAGCATCTCAACATGAAGGAATTTGGAGGGTGTTATGCTAAGTGAGGAGCCCTGGTCGTGCAGTGGTTAAGAGTTCTACTGCTAACCAGAAGGTTGGCAGTTCGAATTCACCAACCATTCCTTGGAAACCCTATGGGGCAGTTCTACTCTACTATAGGGTCGCTATGAGTCAGAATAGACTCAATGGCAACAG